AATATCTGTTCATCGTCCATATCGCCGTTTACGTTACACTTGCGATACCAAGGCAACGACTGACACATTTCTATTACATTCCAAATAGCTCCGTTATGAGCACCACAGTGGAAAATGAAACCGTATCCGTGCTGACTGACCCGGATTGGCATGGAATGGAACAGTTAAGCAAAGAGAACCGTTCGGCCCGATAGTGGAAAAACAGCTATAGTCTATACGCTTCAGCACTCAAACCTATTAGCCACATCTGTCAGAGGAAAAGGAATAAAGGGACAAGAGAATGTGTGCTTTTGAGAGGAAAAAATAGAAAAGAGGCAGATGGTAATAAAGAGTTAAAAAGAAAAGGAAAGGAAAGGAAAAAGAGAAGATACTCTGTGACACTTTTGTAATTGTGCACTACAGAAATATATCCATCCACGCTGCAGACATTGATTAGAGATCAAAAGTTAAAAGCTTTGGCTGGCAACTACTGAAGTGAAGCATCTCTATCACTGAATACCTCAGACTAGATGTAAGTAAACACTGTACTCCTCTTTGACCCCTGCGGTCACTGTACACCTCCCTATAGTCAGAAGGTCTGAGGCCACAGCGGAGACTGTGCAGTCAGATGCGTTCAATACAACAGCTCACCCTCAGCCGTGACCTTCAGACCCATTACAACAATAGTCGTAAAGCTCTCACAGTATATGCACTTTCCTTTGTCTGCAATTCATTTACTTGCAAACACAGTACAAAAGCAACATTTTGCTGTTTGTACTGATAGTGAGTGATTTACTTACAGTGAGTGAATACTTATACGCAGGGCCTAAAATTAACACTTGCGAGTAAAAATCAGCATTGGCGAGTATATGTAACAGTGTCAGTCGCCAGTTGGCGTGTAAAACTTTTTCAAAATATAACAATGCATTGTAATGGAAACAACAGCCCGTTTTTAAAGAGATTCGCTGTTTCTGACAACTTGCAAACACAGTACAAAAGCAACATTTTGCTGTTTGTACTGATAGTGAGTGATTTACTTACAGTGAGTGAATACTTATACGCAGGGCCTAAAATTAACACTTGCGAGTAAAAATCAGCATTGGCGAGTATATGTAACAGTCGCCAGTTGGCGTGTAAAACTTTTTCAAAATATAACAATGCATTGTAATGGAAACAACAGCCCGTTTTTAAAGAGATTCGCTGTTTCTGACGTATGCAAATAAAATAATATTTTCCGAAGACAAGATCATCGTGATTGGTTAGCTGTTCTGTCATAAGCGGCAAGAGTGAATCAAATAATAGGATACAAATGGGCTTATAAGGTCAGAGCAGTGTGATGGCCAGCTTGCCCCTAGACACGGTTCTAATAACTTTTACCTGAGAAGATATTGCTGCTTCATTTTGGAAGATTAACTATTCCCTTCTTTATTCTTCATAATCCGAGAATGTGGCGACACATACCTGGGGTTACGCCGCAGATACGGTGCAGTGAATTAGACTATAGTTTAAAAGGTGGAGCCGCTTTAGACAGCGCACCAGTAGCGCTTCAACAGACGAAAGCACAATTATGTAAAAATACACGGTTTTGGCGAGGAACCTCGTAAACGTAGTCTTAAATGAGTTATAAAGTCTTAAATGACTGTAAAGAGTTTGGAGAAGAAATGTGTCAGATCCGCATCATGTGCATCAGGTTTTAAAGAGGCAGCGCTGCTTTTAAAGTAAAACCTGCTGAAGTCTGTCATTGATGTAAATCAAAGAACAAAAGAAAAAGGGAAATCACTCGACTGCTCTAGTCGCTGATTAACTTTTGTAGCTTGAATAAAGATTAATCTGTATAATTTATGCATATACAACTTATAGTTTATGTGAAAATTGTTTTAAAATCACTTAATATTTCAGAGCCTATTAAATATAAAAAATAATGGCTTTCAATTATACTGTAATGTTGAATGGCTATAATTAATAGGTAAAATTGAGGGGAAATTTATTTAATAGAGACACCAGGTAGCAGTATTGGTATCAACACTTCATTAATAATATACTACTTAGTAAAAAGATGCCATTTAAACATATTTAAAATATACTATCTTTATGTTGTTTCTACATTAATTTGGAGGTTCAATGTGAAATTGTGACTATAAATATGCGATTAATCATGATTAATTACAGAAAAATGTGAGATTAATTATATATTTTAATCGATTGTCAGACAGCACTAATGTTTACTAATGTTTTAATCTTATAGGTCCCCCCAGAAAGAGATCAGGACGGCCCCCACCCCCTTGGCCCCCTTCAATTTTGACAACATCATTGTTGTGTACACGTACCCTTAGATGCACTTCTAAGGTATAAGTTAGAAGATGCATAAGTCGCAAAAGTTTATATTCTTTGATCACTTACAAATTTAAAGCTGGCAGATTTTATGTCTTTACCAAAGCCAATATTTACTTACTTTTGGCATTCGCCGAGTGCTCATTTTGGACCCTGTTTAGAAATCTATAAAACACAGAAGGCTGCAATGGTCTAGATAGGAAAACATACAGAATTCATGTGATTTGGGAGACTGTGGCATAGAAATGTACTACTTCATGTTTACACTAAACTGTTTAGTTGCAAATATGATGCAAGGTGGTGTTAAGTATAACATTTCAAAGCAATAATATGGAAATAACATTTAACAATTGAAGCATGAAGAATTCTGTCCTATGTTCAGGTTCCTGTCATTCCAACAGACTTTTTATGTATGTAGCGCAGATTCTATAATAAACAATCACCCAGCAGTGGGCCAACTGTATGCATTAATTTTTTAAAGCTCTGCCCATTTTGTTTATGCACTATAAACAGCCCTTAAAATGCAAATGAAGGAGAAATCCACTTTCACCACCTGCTGGTGCTTCTCTGTGTAGTTTAGGGATTGGACTGCCCTCATTTACACTCAATCAATCATAAGCCCTTATTTAACTATCAGAATTATGTCGCCTTAACAGATGATGGGATCCTGACATGGTTTTGTTGCAGGCTTAAAAAGAAATGCATTAGGCCCTTTGCATACAGAAAAAAGCTAATAGTTGTCAAATAATCCAGAGTGACAATCGAAGGAAATTGGACTATAATGTTTGTATGTGAGCATTAGCGACTAAAACATGGTATTTATTATCTGTGACAGGAGTGAATTTTGTGAAAGAAAACATTGTTTTTGGTGAAAGGTGAGCTGTTTATCGGGAAAATATGAGATGTCTAAGTATTACCCACATACTGCTTTGAATCAACAATTATTGTTCATTGACCATCACGCCGCCACTATCTAATGGAGGATCATCATCTCGGGGATGATGGGAAATAAGAGGGACTTCTCAATCTGTTGAACTTCTGGCATAACAAATCGATTATACTTATGTCTCATGAATTTAGACAATGATGCCGAGATGTCTTGTTATAAATATTCAGCAGTCATATTTAATAAATGAATGGTTCTAGCCATCAAGTCCAGGGCAACTGCCTCTCCACATGCATTCTAAACACTGTTTGGTTTGGTATATGAGTTTTAAAACATTTTGAGTAAGTGAAGAGAGCAAAATATAGCACTTTAGAAGTTCTACATCAATTTCAGATCACGTTTTGAGATCATGTGTAAAACCACCAAGTTTTACATCAGACTATTACTGATGACAGTTTCATTCAGGCATTCTGTTCTTGTGAAGTATACAGTTCACGGCCTGTTCTTTCAGGTGTCTATATAGAAAGAGTGTGAAATGGTGAAAAGAGCAATGCCATTTACAGATACTGCTTCACTTGTTTAAACAGAAAGCTGTTGAGGGAAACCGGCAGTGCATTTTTGAATGTGGCACTTTTGCCTTTTTGAAGGAAATGCTGGAAAGGCTTGACTGAAGCTTAAATGGCCTTAAATCCAGGCTTTAACATGTGTTAATTTTCTTAAGCGGGGGCAGGAAAAAGTTTCAAATACAAGCTTGTTGTGTTATTATGGTCAGTCTCATATTTTGCAGTAGATGCTGTCATCAGGTTTATATAGTTTTATACACACTAACGTTCCTCTTTCGAAAAACATCTCTTGTGGTCACCGAGGCTGCATTTATTTGATCAAAAATACAATTAAAGAATAATACTGTGAAATATTATTACAAATTAAAATAACTGTTTTCTATTTCCATATATTTTAAAATGCAATACATTCCTGTGATGACAAAGCTGAATTTTCAGCAGTCATTACGTCAGTCTTCAGAGTGTCACATTATGCTTCATAAATCAATATGCATATTCTGATATTCTGATTGATACATGCTTGCTGAATAAAGGTGTCTGTTTCATTCACAAAAAAAGAGATAATACACAATATATGGTCAGAGGACATACAAAATAGGGAAGTCACTGAAATGTTTGCCTCTGAAAATAAATGCAGAGCCTCTCAGTCTGCCAAGTAAATCTCTCTGATATAAAAAAGTGTTGTTAGATTCCTGGCTGGCAGATTGACTCATGGTTTACTAGTACTGATTTATTTATTTATTTAATGTTTTATTTGTATAGGGACAGATACATTAAACATTGGAACAACAGCCATCTAATACATGTATATCATAGTGCGTGTAGCAACACTTTTCCCTAGAAGGGCAATAAAAAAAACAACGTAGTATTTCTGACTTATGGGTGATTTTTTTTATTTTCATGAATTTGAAGTAAACAATTTTATGTCTGGAAATTCAGTAGTATGACAAGAGTCACTTTATAACAATTTCCCAAAGGTTTTTTTTTCCTGCAGTGAATGGCGCTGTGTTTGACATCATGGGAGCTTGTGCCACTGTACCTTTTAAATATTTTTATGGCATACTCAAAGTTTATTTATTTATTTATTTTATCTGAATTTTGAAGGTCTGGTCATCATTAAGAAATGCTAGTATAATTAAGAATCTTTTGTATCATTCTTACACTTGGGGTTTAGTGGCTTTTGTTGCAGGGAAAGTCCATATTTGTCTTACAGTGAATGAATCACTTTTCTTTTCTCTCAGGCTGGTCCCTTAGCTGTGGAGCCATGTTCTGGGAATTGTGCTGCTGTGCAAACATTGCTGATGAGTCTTCCACGGTCATCCTCTGGAGCACCTCCTCCTGGCCAGTGTGGTGAGAACTCACAATTCAACATTCACATAACATCTTAGCTCTACATGCAATACTTGTTTATATATATATATATATATATATATATATATATATATATATATATATACTTTAAGACATGACTTCGAACATTGTCTTAAGATACTAAAAAAGTCATGTGTTGTTCATGCTGTTATTAAGCACATTTTCATATCCCTGAGGTCATTACAAGATTGATGTAAGAAAAATGAATATCCACATTTTTAGCTAGTGTAACTCCAACCCAAATCAAACACACCAAAACCAGGTAAAGTCTACAGATATATAAAAAAATTACAGGCAGGTATATTTGATTAGGATAGGTAATATTGATTTAATTATAAATAGACTTTTTCGTTTTTAATACCTTAATAGGTCAGCATATACTGGGAGATACAACGCATATTTTATATCAAGTCCAGATTATATAAAAAGTTAGATTTTTTGCCTGTTTAAAGGTATAGTTCACTACAAAATTCTGTCATCATTTACCCACTTTTAAGGCCAAGGTATACTTCGGTTTTTATACATACACGAGGGTCCGCGTACGGTGCACATGACGCAAATTTCTTAGCCAAAATAGTATGCGCTTGCAGGTTGCACGAGCACATTGACTTGGTATTGCACTAATCAGTTGTTCCACAAGGTGGCAACACTGGCCCGGGCCGTTGTTTTGATGGGTCTTCCACGGGCATCCTCTGGAGCACCTCCTCCTGGCCAGTGTGGTGAGAACTCTCAATTCAACATTCACTTAACATCTTAGCTCTACATGCAATACTTGTTTATATATATATATATATATATATATATATATATATATATATATATATACTTTAAGACATGACTTCGAACATTGTCTTAAGATACTAAAAAAGTCATGTGTTGTTCATGCTGTTATTAAGCACATTTTCATATCCCTGAGGTCATTACAAGATTGATGTAAGAAAAATGAATATCCACATTTTTAGCTAGTGTAACTCCAACCCAAATCAAACACACCAAAACCAGGTAAAGTCTACAGATATATAAAAAAATTACAGGCAGGTATATTTGATTAGGATAGGTAATATTGATTTAATTATAAATAGACTTTTTCGTTTTTAATACCTTAATAGGTCAGCATATACTGGGAGATACAACGCATATTTTATATCAAGTCCAGATTATATAAAAAGTTAGATTTTTTGCCTGTTTAAAGGTATAGTTCACTACAAAATTCTGTCATCATTTACCCACTTTTAAGGCCAAGGTATACTTCGGTTTTTATACATACACGAGGGTCCGCGTACGGTGCACATGACGCAAATTTCTTAGCCAAAATAGTATGCGCTTGCAGGTTGCACGAGCACATTGACTTGGTATTGCACTAATCAGTTGTTCCACAAGGTGGCAACACTGGCCCGGGCCGTTGTTTCACAGTAAAAAAACTAAACTAAAGAGACGGAACAATAACAACAAAATAACAGAGACTGTAACAACAACAGACGCCCGCATTAACAAACACTTGTGTGAGGGGGTTATGAGAGAGACGCAACTTTAGTTTAAATAGTACAAAGACATTTTTATCAGTCAAAACTGCTGAAGAAAAATACAGCAGACGCTGGACAAAGATGAAGCTTTCTAGAGTGCATGTGTCGACCGCCTGCATTCGCACACACTATCAAATGGAGTATACTTTGAAGGCTACGCGTTTGACTGTACACATACGCTAGCGTGCATGTACAAAAATGAAGTATACTTTGGGCTTTGCGTTGGTCTAAAATTCCAAGTTCCAAGTTGTATGGGTTTCATTCTTCCGTTGAACACAAAAGAATATCTTTTTGAAGAATGTTGGAAACCAAACCGTTGCTGGTAGCCATTGACTCCCAGATAGCAAAATTGTTGTGGCCCAGATCCAGCCCACACCTGACACTTTCATCTGGCCCACTTTCTGTTCTGGTCCACAAGCGGGCCATTGTACAGACATATGTTAGCTAAGAATGAAACAAATAAACTGTAACCGTATGCATGCTGTGCCATTAAAACTTTGGAAACTCAGTGACTGAATATCAATGACACTAAGTGAGTTCTGCATCAACAATATTCAACATACAGTAAAGAGAAATGTAAAAATGGCCTACCTAAATATTAAGATAAGTTACAACAGATGATCCAAACACATTTCTGAAAATAATGCATAATTTATTAACATTGTCAATAAAAAACCCATTGCATGATTACATTTCCAAAACTGGGAAGCAATCTAAACATGAAGAAACAGAACAATAAACAAAATAGCTGTGAATAGGTTAGCTTATCCAAAAAAACGAACTTGTCTGACAATGCAGAAGTGAAAACTACAGAACCTTAGCAACAGGAACAATACAAACTTATAGGATTTATTGACCTCCTTGACTGGGCCCATCAGCGTCATGGCAATCTTGCAGGCCTTTAATTGAAACACAAATGAAAAAAAGAACCTTAGCAACAGGAACAATCCAAACTTATAGGATTTATTGACCTCCTTGACTGGGCCCATCAGCGTCATGGCAATCTTGCAGGCCTTTAATTGAAACACAAATGAAAAAAAACAGTTGACTCAGTAACAGAATGCAGATAATATAATGGTGTTGAAGACACACACACACACACATATACACAAAACAATTTAAAAGCCAGATTAAACAAAATCCCCTAAACAAAAAATGGCATACTCAAAGAAATAAATAAAACAAAAACAAAAAAGCTAGGCATTGTTTTTATTTTTTTTTTTATTGTTAAAGGTTAAACACTTTTCTCCATCTAGCAAGGGTGGCATGATCTGAAAATGAATGCGAGCGTGCATTCAAGAAAGATCTTGACTGGGGAAACCTAGTGCCTATGTCTTTTGGTCTGACTCCCCCTTGTGCCTAATAAAACAGTGCAATAATCACAGTTGTCTGAAAAAAATAACGTGGTTAGATCAGATAACGCAATCCGTTATTTAACAATCGTAACATGTCTAAGACAGAGTGAGAGATGAGTTCATGAATTATTCTGCAGGGTCTTTCTACTAAGAGTGAAGCTGCGAGTTTTAAAAACTTCAAAACAGCAGAGTGTGTGTCTTTTAATTAACAACGAGCAATACATTTGTTACAGTTTATTATTCTTTGTTAATGTTAGATAATAAAAATACAGTCGATCATTGTTTGTTCATATTAGTTCACAGTGCATTAACTAATGTTAAATTAAACTTTTGATTTTAATAATGTATTAATAAATATTGTAATTAACATTAACTAAGATTAATAAATGCTCTAGAAAAATTGTTCATTCTTAGCACTTTACAATAAGGTCTCATTTGTTAACATTAGTTAATGTATTAACTAACATGAACTAACAATGAGCAATACATTTGTTACAGTATTTATTATTCTTTGTTAATGTTAGATAATAAAAATACAGTCGATCATTGTTTGTTCATATTAGTTCACAGTGCATTAACTAATGTTAAATTAAACTTTTGATTTTAATAATGTATTAATAAATATTGTAATTAACATTAACTAAGATTAATAAATGCTCTAGAAAAATTGTTCATTCTTAGTTTATGTTAACTAAAGTAGTAAACTAATGTTAACTAATGAAACCTTGTAAAGTGTTAACAATGGTTTTAATGCACACCTTAGAGCCAATCGGAATCAAGTATTCAGACAAATCATGGTATAATACAAATTATTACACACATATAGTAAAAACACAATGTAACTGACTTACAGGTGTCTTGGACACTCCTTTGTTTCTTTAGTTCTCTCCTCCCTCCGTCTCGGTTACATACAAGGTGGAGCCATTTTTTTATATAAAATTCG